CTGGGGCCTGGGCAAGAACATGAGGAGGGTATAACCATCACAGCTACTAACTGTGGTTTATTGACCTTGACATCACTAATAAAACCACATTTAATAGGTTCCTGCTAATTGCAAGACATATAAGTAGCCCCCAAAATATAATTTGTGGCATATAAGTGGATTAATTTTAAAAATAGTTTCAAAAAATGGAGTTAGTGTGTGCCAAGGGGTAAACTAAGAAATTAACTCAACTATTTCAAATGCCAAATAATTACAAACTTGAGTTGACTTTTTATTTGGAGTAAGAAACAGTCAGCTATAGGAACAACATTAGAGAGCTGATACACTCTGAGAAAACACATATGTTAACATCTGAAATATAAACCTTAATTTAAAAACTCCTTACTATGGAAAAATTTGAACATACACAAAACAGCATTAAAAATCAAGCCCACTCACTCTCAGATACCATCACTCAGCTTTACCTATTACCAACTCAAGAACAATTTACTCTTTCCTTTCCTTTTCCCTAGAAATCAAGTCATTTAATCTCTAAATATTTCAGTAAAACCTTACATTTTTCTCTCTCTTTTTTTATTTTTATTTATTTTTTTCTTTGAGAGATTTTTCTCTATAGGGCATGTGTACTCGCTGGAGAGAAAGAGAAAAACAGAGAGACAAAAAGTGAGAGATCACCCCCCAGGAAGATGATCACACCAAAATCCCTTCTCCTCCATTATTCTCTTGGGATTTTGAGCATGCACACACATGCACACACCTGGTGTGAATTTTAAGCTGCCAGATCTGGGACTTAAACTGCAGTCGACTATGTGGGAGTCCAGTGACACAACCATTAGGCTATCTGCTAGTCCCACAACCTTACATTTTTAACCATCATTGTTAGAATTTGTGGGCCTGTGTGTTCTGTTATTTTTTTTATTCTATTTTAAGTTTTTGCCAAGTGTGTGCACTTACCAGAGAAAGAGATAGTAGGAGGAAAAGTGATCAATCATCTCCCAGAGGGGATGGCCATGCTGCAATCTCTTGTTCTCCATTCTCCTCCTGGGATTTTGGGAACATACACACACACGTGCCTGGCATGATTTTCAAGCCAACAGGTCCAGGACTTGAACTGTTGTCAGCCATGTGGGAGTCCAGTGCCTTAACCACTACACCACCTGCTGGCCTCATGTATTTTCTTTTTTTATTATTCATGATTTTAAATACCAATGCAAATGAATGACAGGAAATCCATGTTTATTAAAAGCAAGGAGAAGAAAATTTATGTATTTGTTGGTTCTTCTAGACCTTCTAAAACCTAAAAGTTATAAAAATTTCTCCTTTCTCCATACAACAATAAATAAAAATTTTCTTTTCAGTCAATGAGACAGACACATAAACAGATAAAATTAATAAGATATGGAAAAGACTAGGATAATGATATTCACTGTGAAAACAGAGAAAAAGGCCACTCAGGACAAATTACATTTCAAGAAAGGCTTCGAGGAAGAGATGACATCTGAATTAATGCAAAAGTGCAAGAGAAGATTATTACTATGTCATTATAAAAATCCAACATCAAGTTTCCTTCAAAGTTCCTTCATTTAGCTGGTTACAGAGTGAAGAGGAAGGCTTTTCAAAGAGAATAAAGCCTCAAGGACTGAAAAAGCAGCCACTATGTCATATCCTGTGGGGAACACCCAAGAGAAAAGACTTGGTCTCCACCCTCCAGGAGGCAGGGATCTAGATGAAGAGAAATTAATGATGCATTAGAAAATTTTATGTAAGGTGTCAGCCAGTGGCCTGGAGGTTGAGGCAGCTGGATCCCACATGACTGACAGTGCAGTTTAAGTTCCAGATGCAGTGGCTTGAAAACCATGTTGGGAGTGAGTGTGCGTGTGAGTGTGTGTGTGTATATCCAAAATCCTAAAAGGAGGGAGAGATAGAGGACAAGGAATGACAGTGTGAGCATTTCCATGGAGAAAGGGGTGGTTTCTTGCCCTCAAACCACTCCCCGCCCCACCCCCTCTCTCCCTAGTGAGCTCATGTGTCTTCTGGCAAAAAAAAATTTTTTTTGGAGAGGTTTTTGCTATAGGGTGCATGCACTCGCCAGAAAGACAGAGAGAGACAGAGAGACAGAAAGCGAGAAATCACCTCCCAGGGGGGTTGGCCTCACCACAATCTCTTCTCCTCCATTCTCCTCTCAGGATCTTGGGGCACACACACACTCGCCCAGTGTGAGTTTAAGCGACCGGGTCCGGGACTCGAACTGCAGTCAGCTACATGGGAGTTTAGCAACATAGCCATTACACTAACTGCTGGTCCTTCTTCTGGCAAATTTTTTAAAAAAGAAAAATCTTACTATATAATATTGAATCAAAATATAGAATTGAGGGATGAAAAGAATGATGTGGTCTAAAATATTTGAGTAAGAACTGGGACTTAACCCAAGGTTTTGAATATTAATTTAACACAGATTATAAAGGGAAATCAATCAAGTAAAAAATATTAAAAGGTAAATCTTAAGCGATCAAGGATTCTTTGTCATTAAAAAGTTATTTCTTGGAACAGCTGACGGTGTAATGGTTATGTCACTGGACTCCCATGTAGTCGACCATGGTTTGAGTCCTGGACCTGGTAACTTGAAACTCACACTGGGTGTGTGTGTGTGCCCAAGATCCCAAGAGGAGAATGGAGGAGAAGAGACTGTGGCGTGGCCATCCTCCCAGGGTGTTATTTCTTGCTTTCTGTCTCTCTGTCTCCCTCTGTCTTTCCGGCAGGTGCACACGCTCTATAGCAAAAATCTCTTTAAAAAAGAAAAAGTTATTCCTTTGTTCTGTCCATCTGTAGATTTCTGAAACAATGTGGTGAAGGTCAAGATATTTTATCCAGCGTTCAAAGATTTGTGTGTATAAGCATGTGTGTGTACAGGTGTTTACGTGTGTGTATTTTTGGACAGAACAAGAAGACTGGATCTGGGAATTCACAATCTCATTCTAAGATGTTCCACTAGAATAATGCATAATGTCAGATGCAAATGCAAAGATCTATTCTGGAAGATGCCTGATTTGGGGGGAAAAGCAAAATCCATAAACATAAAAATTATAAAAGATACAAGAAAATTCAATCAACAAAGAAAATATTTTCTAGTTGTCATTCAGAGATCAATGGCCCACCGTTCGCAATTGTATGTTGAATAACACCAACAATAACTATACCATCAGCTAACACTTACACAGCATCTTCTATGTGGCCACCTTTATATGAGTAACTCATTTGACCCTCAAAGCAGCCAGTGTGGTAGATATTACTATTCCTCCCATGTGACAGAGAGGGTGAGACTCAGATAGATTAATAATTTCTTTTTCCTGAACTCTAGTTTTTCAAACTTCACTGGTGAGAGTTTAGATCAAAGAACAGAAAAGGACATGTAAATATTCTGTGAGAACAGGCTGAAATCTACTTTAAAAAAAAATAAACCCAGAAAAAGTTTATCTTTCATCAGGCTAAGTAAAGTGATATATGATAGTATGTTGGCATTAAACCATAAACATAAATGTCAAATCAATCATTGAGTCTAACAGGTAGAGTTGCAAATAGGAGCACTCTCTAGAAATGGAATGTTTATCAACAGACCAAAGACGATCTCTAAATCTTTACCATGGGATTGAGGAAAGCATCTTTTTTATAATACTTACACACACAAAGAACAGCATCAGCTATAAATGAAAACAATAATAAATGATCATATCATATACAGCAATAAAAGTAGCCAGCAGTAAAAAATGCATTTCAAATAACACTTGTCCCTAGTGAACAGTAGAAAAATATTACTCCCAGATACAGTTAGCTGGTTTTTCTTTCAAGCTCTGAAAACCAGCCATATATATATATATATATATATATGTATATATATTATTATATTACATTATAATTTTGGTTAATATAGTAGTGTTTGCTGCAGACTAGGAGTCCTTTGGAATAGAATCTGAATTCATTCTTCTTGGGACAAAACCCACCCCCCTGCAGCTAATAAATCAAATATTTATTGAGTAAATAAATGATATGATAAATGACTTCTAATAAAATCTAAGGCACTGTAAAGCATTATAAAAAATTCTGGGACCAGAAGATGGCATAATGGTTATGTAGTTGGACTCCCATTTAGTTGACTGTGGTTCAAGTCTCAGACCTGGTGGCTTAAAACTCATGCTGGGCGCATGTGCATGCATGCCCAAAGTCCTGAGAGGAAAATGGAGGAGGAGGGATTGTGGCGTGCCCATCCCCCTGGGTGGTGATTTCTGACTTTCTGTCTCTCTTTTTCTCCGACAAGTGCACATGCCCTATAGCAAAAAATCTCTCTCTAAAAAACAAACAAACAAACAACAACAACAACAAAAACCCAAGAAGCATTATACAAATTTTTTAAATATCAATTAATTGTAGGGGTTTGTTATTTTATGAGTAGATTACGATTTCACTTACCTAGCATTTAAGACTTTTTTCACCAGCCTTAATCTACCTTAACTTTATCTCAACTACTACCTACTCTTAGAGTCTATACATGAATTACTTTGTTTTAACTTAGTTATGTTCAAAAGTTTCTGATAATGCAGCTCTCTCATTATAGAATATTGAGTATACTTAACATTTTGATAATGTATTATAACCAAGCAATAATAAAAATAGGAGAAAAATAAGCATTTTAAATAAAAATAAAAATTAAAAATTAAATAGAATAAATAATTATTTTAAGAAATCTATTAGAAATTGTGTTTATACTAAACAAGAGAGCCAAAAATGGAAACATGTAGAATCCAGGAAACAGAAAATCCAAAAGTTCTATATATCAGATCATTTTAAAGTGCTCCTGAGCTTATTGGTTTTAAGAGATCAAATCAACACAGAAGAATTCAGTTGATTTTTGAAATGTAAAACATGTCACATGCCTTTAGATTTAGAGTTATACTTCTACAGCAAACTGAGAAGAAAAGAGATTTTGAGAGGTTTTTAACTCTTACCTGTAACACAGCAGCAAAGAGGTACACTACTACGAAGATCACAGTTAAAGAAGTATGACCACTTTTCATCAAATGAATCGTGTAGAGGAAAATTAAATGTCCAGGAATCACTAAAAGCAGCAGAACTTGGGCAGACTTATTATTTACTCCTGTAATATATAATGTGATTAAAATTAAGTCATATTTTGGTTAATGATAGGTCACAGTTATCAAAATTTCAGGACTACTCTCTAGTCACAATACTGCATAGCATCATGTAAAAATTCCATTGCAAAAAATAAATTTCAGCAAGTTATAATTGGCTTAATTCTTTGAAAGGCCCATTATATACAAGTGCTAATTTAATTAAAAGTGGTTGATAAAAACTTGCAGTGAAGAACAGTAGTCAGATCTTAGTATTTATCACTTTAAAAAGAGAAGACAAAATAGCATGTTTTACTTTTGAGAGTGCTATCACTGGTATTACAAAGGCTGCGTGTTTTTGATCTTCATTCAGAAGTCAATAATCGTTTATTTTCGTTGGCAAAAAAGAGCAACAAAGATTGTGAGGTTTAAAATTGTGGTCTTGGGAACCAGCAGTTAGTGTAATGGCTATGTCACTGGACTCCCACGTAGTCGACCGTGGTTCGTGTCCCGGACCCGGTGGCGTAAAACTCACGCCGGGCGCATGTGCGTGCGTGCCCAAGATCCCGAGAGGAGAATGGAGGAGAAGGGACTGCGGGGTGACCATCCCCCCTGGGGGGTGATTTCTTGCTTTCTGTCTCTATGTCCCTCTCTGTCTGTCTGGCGAGCACATGCGCCCTATAGCAAAAATCTCTCCAAAAAAAAAAAAAAAAAAGTAAAACTGTGGTCTTAGTGTTTTCCTGGTTGACATAAAAATTACACTCTTCTCATCCTGTCTGTTTGGGATCAAAGGGACCAGCAGGTGGTGTGGTGGTTAAGGCACTGGACACTCCTACATGGCTGACCAGGGTTCAAGTCCTGAACCTGGTGACATACTTTCTCACTTTCCTTCTCTCTGTGTATCTCTCTCTGGTCAAATTAAAATAAATGAATGAGTAAATAAAATAAAATAAATAATTATAGAGAAAAAATGACTACACTTAGGCCAAAAAAAAATTAATATAGGAAAGATAGTACATCTATCTCCCTAATCACCAAAGAAAAAACCATCACACATCTTGTTTTTCTCTGTGTATATGGTTCTTGTTTTCTGATTAATAAACAAGGTATCTCAGAGAGAGGAATAAAAGGAAAAAATTATATGCAAAGACCCAGAGCAACTGCAGAATTGACACATGACTTTTTGCCCACTGCGATTAGCTCTCAGAAATACAAAAGTGCGCAACCCCTGCCAACAAAATCTGTATTCAACCAATGTTGCCTCTTTAACATCTCAGAGAGCAAAAGTTATTGACATAAAATATGCAAAAATCCGCAAGCACATACCTGGACCAAAAAAAGTTCTGAAGGGGTAATAACAACCTTTTGGTTCATCAGGCAGCTCTCCTGGAATGCTATGTAAATGGAGGTAGGTAGAAATCCTGCTAGCCTGAATGGCCACCAAATTACCACCAATACCTGAAACATAAGGAAAAACAAGGCAGTTACCCTCATATTTTAACCAACTTGCATAAATCCAACCAAAAGTAAGTTTCTTTTGTCACATTCTGGGCCCATAAAGCACAATGGAGTTCTTGTGTAGATAAAGTTTATATAGAAAAGAGATCATTAAACAAAAATAAATAAATAAATAAATAAGAGCTGGGGAAGGGTGAGGAAGAAGGGGTACCTGACCAGACTGCTTACTGACTATGATTCCTACCTATGGACGATGTGACTGA